TAGCACACACATATATACACATATATGGCTGACATATATATATGAATATATGTACGCAAACATATATACATACATATATATATATTTTTATAGTTTGGCTCTTTTTCATGAGTTACAACTTCTATTTGTGTGTCCACAGATTTTCAGCCTATACTGTAGCACACACATATATACACATATATGGCTGACATATATATATGAATATATGTACGCAAACATATATACATACATATATATATATTTTTATAGTTTGGCTCTTTTTCATGAGTTACAACTTCTATTTGTGTGTCCACAGATTTTCAGCCTATACTGTAGCACACACATATATACACATATATGGCTGACATATATATATGAATATATGTACGCAAACATATATACATACATATATATATATTTTTATAGTTTGGCTCTTTTTCATGAGTTACAACTTCTATTTGTGTGTCCACAGATTTTCAGCCTATACTGTAGCACACACATATATACACATATATGGCTGACATATATATATGAATATATGTACGCAAACATATATACATACATATATATATATTTTTATAGTTTGGCTCTTTTTCATGAGTTACAACTTCTATTTGTGTGTCCACAGATTTTCAGCACATACTCTAGCGCACACATATATACACATATATGGCTGACATATATATGAATATATGTACGCAAACATATACATACATATATTTTTTTTTATAGTTTGGCTCTTTTTCATGATGTACATCATTTCATTGGCTTGAACCGAATGCGGTTTTCAGCGCTTCACAGCTATCGAGTCAGCGCCCGATGAATCTTTCTGCCCTCGTAGTAATTTTAATATGTCAGACATCGTCATAAGGTTTTTTAGAAATCTTGATAAATGTCCATATTAAAGGGAAGATCATGTCACACTCTCTTTGTCCGTCTGCTTTGTCTGCTTTATTCCCTCTCTCCCTCTCTCTCTCTCTCTCTCTCTCTCTCTCTCTCTCTCTCTCTCTCTTGCCCTCCGCATGTGCGTTTCCAACAGCAGATCTATTTTATTGATTAGCTTCTGTAGCTGCTGGGCCGGCTATTGAAGACGGGGACAGCGATTTAATGAATCCGACGAACCCCGTTCAGCGGTCACATGTGTTTTGTGTGTCTCTCATGTGACTTGTCCATTCCTCGGTCAATACCTTTTGACCACATGTACCTGATGTTTTTGGTTGTCTTTTTTTCAATTGAGTGTTGCATGTCCATCCACAGTTATACAACAGTCATCGATTTTCAAACAACACTGTTGGCTGACATCGTGCCTGTGTTTGTTTG